GGCTATTTCCTCGAGGCTATTTCTGCCAGCATGGCCCGGGGGCCCGTCCACGCCCCGCCGCGCGCGCCGCCGCCCCTCTGGGCCTCCGGGCCGACGCAGCAGGGGCGCGGGCCTTGGCGCGGACGCCTCAGCCCTCACCCTTCCCCTCCCTCCCGCGCGGCCGCTGCAGTGCCGGCTGCCCCCGCCCTCACGCCCAGTACCCAAGCACGCGAGGCGAGACCCACCAGGCGGACCCGCGGCGCGAGTGCGGCGGTGTCCTCCACGTCGCCGAGCGCCCACCGTGCCACGTCACTGGTTGAGCACGCCACGCGCAGGGGGGCCACCGCAGGGCACGCCGACAGCAAGTGCCCGAGGCACTCCACCAGAGTGCACCCCTCCGGTGCAGGGGCGGCGCACAGTGGGCACGCCAGGGGAACGGCGGCGACCCCCTCGGCCAGCCACACTTCCACTGGCATGCGGCCCGACGCCCGCGCGAGTGCCCAGGCCTGGTAGAAGCGCCACATCGCACGCCCCCACGGCGCCCATCGTACGCCAGCGGAGAGCGGCCCACGTACTGGAATCAGCTCTCGGTATGGCAAGAGACCACTAGTACCCACCGCGCCCAGCTGCAAGACGAACCACGCCTGCTCGTACGCCAGGACTGCCGGCAGCACCACAGTGCGCTTCCAGTGCTGGACGGCCCGTTTGCGGGCCTCGGGGTCCGCGCGAGCCTCCTCGGACAGTGCGCCGGCCGGAAGATCAACGGTAATGCCCAATGCACGGGACACCTCGGCGGCGTGGCCCAGCCAAGTAGCACCCGTCGTGGCCCGCGTACCCGCCACCACCTGGGCCACGGGAGTCCCATGTGGTCGCGCAAGCAGCCGCGCCCGACCGAGGGCGATCCGCTGCATCAGGGTCGTCCCCCACCTCGTCAGCATCCGCGTCTCCGCCAGCGCGCGAACATGCCCACCTGTGCCTAGGGAAACCCCTGGCCCCCCACCGAGCAGCATCTTGGCGACCTCGTACTGCGCATGGTTCACCCGCGTCACCGCGGCCTGCCATCCCGACGCGAAGCTGGCCAGCAACTCCGCGCCGTAGAACGCCTTGGCCACGACTCGCGCTGGAAGTTGCGCCACCTGGTAGGGTAGGCCGAAACCTCGCTGCGCGAGGGCGGCCGCGAGCTTGCGCGCTCCGTCGCGTAGCCGCGAGCACGCGCGCCCGAGCAGGGCGTGGAACCCGAGGTCCTGCTCCACGGGGGCGCCCAACATGTCGAGGACTTGGGTAACCTCCGGCGGCACCCCGCACACAGTGCCGAAGTTGTCCGACACAGGCCCACCCCCCACGGCCAGCACCATGGGGCGTTTGCGGCCGCCTTGGAAGCGGTGGCGCCACGTCAAACAGAACTCCGTCAGTGCCCGGTTTACGGCGGCCAGCCCCGCGGCCGACGACTGGAACACGAACGAGTCGTCCACGAACTGGAGGATCAGGAGCGCGTGAGCGGCCACGGCATCGAGGAAGGCGCACCTGTCCGCGACGGTACCTAGCGCCTGGAGGTGCTGGTGCCAGTCCGGCACCCCAGGCCGCACCGATACCAACAACTCCTCTGCACGGACAGCCCCCCAAGCTATTTCCGTGCCAGGCGCAAGAGTTGCGGCCTGGTGGCATTCGTGGAACGCGCGCGCCGCCACCGCCGGCGGGGCGACACCAACGCCCGAGGCCACGGCGGAGCAAGCATCCAACAATGCCCGCACCAGTGCGCCAAACATGCGCACCCCCGCCCGGCGGCCTTGCCCGACGCCAAACTCGGTAGGGACAGCCGCCGCCCCTGCAATCCCGCCGATGCGGACCCGGATCGTTTCGGATCCCAGGGCTGCGTCAGCAACCGGCCAAAGGTGCCCCCCCAAACCGGCTCGTCGCAAGTGAACTCGTACAGCATCCCGCCAGGCGAGGTCGTAGCCGTGTTCCAGGTCGGCCTTCTCCACGAGGGTGGACAAGCCGTGCGCCCTGCGTATCTGTAGCGCCATGACCGTGCCGATCACCATCAGGACGGCGTCATACTTACCTCCCGCCTGGGGGGCGCCCGCATGCGCCTCCAGCTGGCCGCGGGCCGCCCGAAGCCACACGGCGTCGAACGTCCCGCATAGCTCGTCCACGTAGCTGACGGGGCGCAGGTGGGCGACGTCAGACACTACCACGGGCCCCCGCTTCCGGATGGGCGCCACCTCGCGCCGCCATCCACTTGGCATAAGGCCCGAGACCGCCACCAAGCATACCAATGCCCAGGTGACGAGCCTCCCGCCCCAGAGTTCGGTGAGGACGGCCGCGCGCGGGAGGTACAGGGAACGCCGGTTCCCCTTCATCTCCCTGAGGACCGCGTTGACGTCATCCAGGGAGAACGGGTCGCCCGTGCCCAACTCTGCCGCCTCCGCTTGCGATTCCCGGCGTGCCTGGCGGACCTCATCGGCCACGGCGCGGTTGAAGGCTGCGTCGCCAGACCCAGCCTGCGCTCCGCGTGACAACGCATCCTCGGTGATGACCTCCAGAGCGTCGGCCAGCCCTAATAACTCACCGGACACCGGGCACCGCAAGGCCAACTGTACCGGCAGACGGGGTTCCAATGCGCGACTCAGGAAGGCTTCCGCCTCGCCGGGCGACGCCGCTGCGAGTTCGAGGTACCTGTCAAGAGCTCTGGTGGCGGCTTTCCGGGCGGGCGGGTCCGCATCGCCCGCAGCCGCCGCGGCCCGCGCCGCCCGCAGCTCCCCTGGCCCCACGCCCTCGTCGTCATCGTCGCGGTCCGCACCGGCAGCGCCTACTCCCCGCGGCTGGCCGCGTGGGCCGTGCGCAACCGACATGCCCGCAAAATGGCCAGCTAGGGTGTAGACAACAGCCCTCCACCAAACCACCCGGTCGAGCAGGCCCTGCCGCGTGCCCCGGCAGCGCCCTTCGACTACCCAGCGACGGACGACAGCTGACCGCATGGCCGTGCCCGCCCAGCCCACCAAAAATCGTAACGCGAGTGGTGCCAACAGTAAAGCCTCCCCCCAGTCGGCGCCACGCACCCACCTCGCGAAGCCCACTGCCGACTCCCCCGTGCAGTCCACCACGCCAGCGACCGAAACATCAAGGCGGCGATGGTCGCTGCGCAGCCCCGCGTCCGCGGGCGCCACCACCTTAACCTCAGTCACCAGTTCCGGCGACGAGGCTACCACGTCGATGATGGAACCTGACGCATGCGTCGGGCACCCAACAGGAGGAGGAGGAGCAGGAGAAAGATCAAGAAAAGGGGGAAGGCGGGGGAGGAGGAGGCGGAGGAAGGAAGAAGAGGAGGAGGAGGTGGAGGAGGAGAAGGAGAGGGAGGGGGGGGAGGAGGAGCAGCAGCAGCAGCAGGAGGAAGATTTGGCCTGCACCAGCGTCTCCACGTTGGAGAAGCCCGACGCCCCAGCCCACGCTGATCTCACCCAACCTGAACCACTGGCGGGCTGAAGCCTCGCGGCGCCGTGCGAGGCCCTGAGCGGGAGCTGGCGACGCATGATCTCCAACTGGCCTACGTCGCTGGGGCACGGGATCGGAGCGTCGCTGGGGTAGGCCTGCGCGTAGAGGTCAGGGTTGTTGGTGCGCAACTGCTGCGGGTCCTCGTAGTAGTCTACCATCGGCGCGACGGTGCTCGCGTGGAACCTCCGAACTCGTCTCAAGATCGTCTTGAACTCGTTCATCAAGTTCAGCGTCGTAGCCGGGCGAAGCGGAGGCTCCTCGCCGACGGGCGTGGCAGCTCTGATCGTCAGCAGCACGGCGTGAGCCTTTGTGGTCTCGTTAGGGTTCAGTATGTTGAGCAGGCGCATCCTGTTCACGACCACCTCGAGGCGGGAGCGACTCGTCTTGTTGAAACCGGTGAGGGCCAACCAATCCTCCTGAGTGAAGTAGTCGTGGATATGCGCGGCGTTCTGGAGCTCCGTTCTCCCTGCGCTGCCTGGCGTCAACTCTGGCACGGCGGCGCTGACCTTATTGTTGATGGCCAACACGATCGCGGCCCTCACCCGTTCCGGGAAGAGGGGCGTGCTCAGCGCCTGCATCAGGGGAACAGCATCGCTGGTAGGAATGGTGGCCACCGAGGAAATTGCAATTATACTCGCCGCCATCTGTTGCTCGCAAATACTGGTGAAGGCGGCTGAGTCGGTCGAGACTCCAGCGGCGACGTTCGCCGCCAGGAACGCGCTGGCCTCGGTAATTGCGCTGGTAGGCGTCGGCATGGCGCTGGCTGTCGGGCGTCGGCGTCGGCGTTGGCTGCCGACGCTCAGTTGCAACGTGCTTGAGCCTTGGGCCAAAACGGCTTCGGAGGGAGGCGCCGAGGAAGGGCGGGGGCAGGGGGGGTGGCTGAGGGGGGGCGGGGTTGAAAGTTGTATGAATGAGCATTTGACCAAACAACGATTGCTCTCTGATCTCTGAGGCCCTGCTGGCCCGAAAAACCCGCGCTTGCATTCAGGTGATCAATTCGCGACCTGCGCCCCAACATCACATCCCCGAGCAGCGCTTGCACTTGCGTTTGATTGAGGGCCGGTTGACGCGCCGAGCGAAGAATGACCTCCCGAGCAGCGCTGGGATTTGCGCTTACATCCGCAGAGGTAGAATGACCCGCCTCCTCCCTCATCCTTTCTCTTCCACCCTCCTCCTCCATCCGCCTCCGCGTCCTGCTCCCTCATGTGGTTGCTCCTCCTCCCCCCCTCTGCCCCTCGCGGTCCCACGCCGCTCTCGCGGCGCCTTCATGTCTGGATGGGAGAGCTTGCCAGGGCGATGTTTTAGATGATGATTTAGATGATGTTTTAGATGATGTTCTAGATGATGTTTTAGATGATGTTCTGGAACTTCACTGCCGAGCGAACTCCATGAGACACCTCCCCCGGGCCTAAAAGGGGCCCCTCAGCGCTGAGCTAGGTACGGCGAGCCTGCGCGCTTCAGCTGGGCTAAACGCAACAGATCACAGCTTCTGTCAAGGCCAATGTCTGCATTTGCCAGCGCCAGCTGCCCCAGGAGTTGAGAGATGAGGAGAGTCGGGCAAGTTGAGAATGAGTGGAGGGTGGGGCAATATGAGACCCAGAGCCTCGCCCCCCCCCCCCCCCCCCCAGATCGCGGCAGCGCCGCGCGCGCAACGCGCGGGCTCGCATGTGACCAGCGAGCGCGCATTCCCAGCGTCCCATGAGTAGATCCATTGCCTCCCTCATCCTCGCCCCTCCTCCTCCTCCTCCTCCTCCTCCTCCCCCCCCTCCTCCTCCTCTGCAGCCTCCCCCACCTCCCTCCTCCCATCCTGCTCTTGCTCCTCCTACTGCTGCTCCTCCTCCTCCCTCCTCCTCCCTCTCTCTCCTCCTCTTCCTCCTCCTCCAGATTTCGGATCCCATCTATTCCGCGGCAGTGGCGCGGTCGAAATAGTCCTGCAAACTGCGCTTACGCTGCCTCTTCGGGGTGCTTCCCGAAGCCTTGTCACGGCGGTTCTTCTTGCCGCCGCCAGCAGTTGACAATTTCTTCAGCACGGCATCGCAAGCTGCCAAAATCTCGGGCTGCCGAGGCGGCGGCGGCGGAGGCCAGTTGCTCAGGTCCACCGACGCCCAAGCATAGGCGCCCGAGGCGGGAAGTCCTTCCTTCCCCTCCCGAGCAACGTTGGCAACTTCTCCCCGAACGCCCTCTCCCCCTGGGACCGCCGGCGGCCGTGGCGAAGCCGTTGGATCGCCGAACTCACTGGAAATACTGCGAAGCAGCGGCTCAACCGCCGCTTGCATCACAGGCGCGGGGTACGCGTTACCCGCTGCTTTAAAGGCAGAGGGCCCCGTTGGAAACTCAGGCAACATTTCCAGCGGGAAGCCTTGGAGCGTCAGGCGCTCCGCAACTGTGATGAAACGATTCAGCGAGCGGGAATCGCGCGGCTTGAGACAATCGCCAGCGCGCAGCAACCACAAATAACAATTGCCAATGGTGAAGGTTGGGCAACTGTTCACGCATATATAAGCGCGGCGAACACGCGGCCCTCGCCGCGGTCCGACGCAAAAACCGCAATGTCTGAGTCTTTCAAGGACCCGCGCGCCCGCTCGGGGCCCTTGGGGCGCCGGCGCCCCCCTGCTCTTGGACAAAGTCTAGACGCTTCGCGCGCCCCCACCAGCCCGTCCAGAAACAACGCCCAGGCGAGTAGAGGGTCGTCCTGAGGGGCTTTTCGGCGTCTTGGGTGCCTCGGGGGGGCCTCTGCGGGCCGTTCGGGATCCTCTTTGGGGCCTGCTGGGGGCCTCTTGGGGCCATCTTGGGGCCTCCTGGGCGCTTCTTGGGGCCTCCTGAGCGCTTCTTGGGTGCCTCTGGGGGGTCTCTTGGGGCCTCTTTGGGGGGTCTCTTGGGGGCCTCCTGGGGGCCTCTTGGGGGGCCTCGGAGCCATCTTGGAAGAGATCGATCAACGAGGGGGGGTCCCCAATTAACAAGTCACAGCCCCCCCCCCCCCCCCCCCCCCCCTCAGGAGCCACGATCCTCGGGAGGGGTGTCGAATTATAGCCCTCCCAGGGGTCGATCTTGGACGCTCCAACGCGTCGCGGAACCCCCTGCCCAGGTCAGTGGGGAGGGGGTAGGGGGAGGGGTAAACCTGTCACCGAAAAGGAAGAAGGAGGGGTGGAAGAGGAACCGCTCTAAACCACCGACGCCCAGAGGGCTGGTGGGATTCTAAACATTTCGCGCATCCCCACCGGCCCGTCCATAAACGACGCCCAAGCGAATAGAGGGTCGTCCTGACTGGCTTTTCGGCGTCTTGGGTGCCTCGGGGGGGCCTCTGTGGGCCGTTCGGGATCCTCTTTGGGGCCTCCTGGGGGCCTCTTGGGGCCTCTTGGGGCCAACTTGGGGCCTTTGGGGGCCTCCAGGGCGCTTCTTGGGGCCTCCTGAGCGCTTCTTGGGTGCCTCTGGGGGGTCTCTTGGGGCTTCTTGGGGGTCACTTGGGGCCCCCCCGGGGGCCCCATGGGGGGCCTCGGAGCCATCTTGGAAGAAATCGATCAACGAAGGGGGGGGGGGGGGGGGGGGATTAAAGCCCCCCCCTCAGGAGCCGCGATCCTCGTGAGGGGCGTCGAATTTTAGCCCTCCCAGGGGTCGATCGTGGGCGCTCCAACGCGTCGCGGAACCCCCTGCCCAGGTCAGTGGGGAGGGGGTAGGGGGGAGGGGTAAACCTGTCACCGAAGAGGAAGAAGGAAGGGTGGAAGAGGAAACGCTCCAAACCACCGACGCCGAGAGGGCTGGCGGGATTCCCACCTATGGTTTCCTGGGGATCAGTTGGGGGGACACCGCTCGGAATCCCTAAAGGCCCTCAGACCCTGCCCCAGACATCTACGCCCAGACCCACTGCCTCTTCACCCCTCTCCTACACCTGCAATTCCTTTGAGAGCCGAAGGCTGCGAATCCGCGATGGAGCCCCTCCAAAACGCGGCGCTCATACCGAGCCAAGTTGCGCCTCATGTTCTGCGCAAGGCTCTCGCGCGGCGCGACTGGCAGCGGCGCGGGGAGGTCCTCCGGGGGGGCAGGGGCGGGCGCCAAACTGTCAGCGACCCCAGTTGCCCCCCTGAGGTCCTGGAGAGGCCTGCGGCCGAAGGGCTCGAGGCAAGGCGGCGCGCGTTGGGCGCGCGTGCGCAGCCCGCGCAGCACAACGCGAACCCGCTCTTGCGGCAGACCGTAGTCTTCTGCGGCCAGCACCCGTTGAAAAATCCTCAACCTGCTTCTCATCCTCCTCTCCATCCTCCCCCTCATCCTCCTCCTAATCCGCATGCCCCCCTCATCCTCCTCGTCCACGCCTACTTAGTGCTCAATCAGACTCAGAGCTAGGCGACCAACATAGCTGTGCCAAGCGCGTGGTTTCGCGATCCCGCCCCTCTTCAAGGAACTCTGCGTGGGCTAAGTTCCACCGAAGAGTCTCAAGGTACCAATTGAAAAGTGCACATGGAACTCGGCCGAGGAGACTAAGCCTGTAGGCAACGCTGTGGCGACCTTTCGTCACAACAGCCATGCCTTTGTCGATTGAAATCTCGCCTCGGTCAAATGAGAGAATGATTGAGCGAACCTCAGAGTTAGCGAGGACGTCCTCCAACGCTGGCATTGCGAGATGACGCAGACCTGTCTCCCCGATCGAAACCGCACGAGGGGGCGCCTTGTAGATTGCTCGAGCCTGGCACGCCCATCGTTGGATCAGTAGGGCACCCCACTGGAGAGAGGGGGAGGGCGGGGGGGGAGATAGGAAGGAGGATGCGTTTCTCCCTCGTTGGATTCTTTGAGACCCTGAGAGCACCTGCGCGTCCCAACGAAACTCGCTGCACTCTTCGCGCAGCACATGCAGGATGAGGTCCGCGAGAGATACCCCCGAGCTCTTTCTTGTCTTCGTGCATGATGCCTGCTGGCATGTGCGAGCGCTTTTTCATTCTAAAATCCTCATCCCCCCCCCCCCTCCCCCTCCTCCCCCCCCCCCCCTCCTCCCGGGGGGGGAAGCCCCCCCCCCCCCATCCCCATGCCCCCCTCCTCCTCCTTCTCCTCCTCCTCCTTTTCCTCTCCCTCCCTCCCTCTCCCTCGCTCCTCCTCCTCCCCCTCCTCCTCCTCCTCCTCCTCCTTTCTGCCCTCCTCGCCCTAATCGATGGCCCACCCAGAGGCCGAAAATAGCAAGAAACATCCCGTCGCGACGCGAGGGGGTCGGGGCTCCAGTTTCTGGCGTTTTCTGGTCGCCTCCCGCCTGCCTTTCCTTGAGCAGGGGCCCGCCGCCCCGGCATTCCTACAGGCCTACCGCGACATTTTCTGAGAACCCAGAAATGTTCTAGGCTAAGTTCCACCGAAGAGTCTCAAGGTACCAATTGAAAAGTGCACGTGGAACTCGGCCGAGGAGACTAAGCCTGTAGGCAACGCTGTGGCGACCTTTCGTCACAACAACCATGCCTTTGTCGATTGAAGTCTCGCCTCGGTCAAATGAGAGCATGATTGGGCGAACCTCAGAGTTAGCGATGGCGTTCTCCAACGCTGGCATTGCGAGATAACGCGGGCTTGTCTCCTCGATCGAAACCGCGCGAGGGGGCGCCTTGTAGATTGCTCGAGCCTGGCACGCCTATCGCTGGATCAGTAGGGCACCCCACTGGAGGGAGGAGGGGGACGGGGGGGGAGATAGGAAGGAGGATGCGTTTCTCCCTCGTTGGATTTCTTTGAGACCCTGAGAGCACATGCGCGCCCCAACGAAACTCGCTGCGCTCTTCGCGCAGCACATGCAGGATGAGGTCCGCAAGAGATACCCCCGAGCTCTTGTCTGTGTGCATGATGACTGCTGGCATGTGCGAGCGCTTTCCCCCCCCCCCCCCCCCCCCCCCCCCCCCCTCCCCCCCCCCCCCCCCCCCCCCCCAATCCTCATCCCTCCCCCCTCCTCCCCTTCCCCCCCCCCCCCTTTCCTCCTGGGGGAAGAAGGGGGGGGGGGGAGGGGGGCCTCCCCATGCTCCCCTTCCTCCTCCTTCTCCTCCTCCTCCTTTTTCCTCTCCCTCCCTCCCTCTCCCTCATTCCTCCTCCTCCTCCTCCTTTCTGTCCTCCTCCTCCGCCTCCTCCTCCTGGGGGCATGTTCAAGCGGCCTCGCCCCGCCCCGCTCGCCCGTCGCGTTTTCGAGCGCCACGAGGAGGATGAGGCAGCCCTGCTTGATCAATTTAACGCACCATGTGACTATCGAGATGTGCACATCGGACCTCGGATCCGAACGACCCCCATGCTTCCCGATAGACGATGGCGGCGGGCACGGGGGCCCTGAGACGCCGCCGTCGGCGTCGACGGCCCTGCTCAAGTGGACGCGGGTGACGTCGCCGAAGGGCTCCCCCAGTTGCGCGACTCCCTTGCCCAAGTGGGCGCCCTGCATAAAGGGGCCGACGCCCTGCCAGAAATCCAGCGCCCTGCCTCCTCGAGGCCCCTCGTCGCCGCGGCTGGCTTCGCCTCGAAATTCAATCTGGGGGGCGCGGGAGGGCGGGGGGGGCCGGGATTTCGAAGCGGGGCCGTCCAGAACATCACGATACTCTTTCTCAAGGTCGAGAGCCATCCTCCCGACCAATGGGGCGCCCATGGCCTGGGGGCACCGCCCTGCGCCGTCAATGCCGTCGCAGGGTAGCAATGCCACGAGGGGCCTCGAGAAGGGCCCGACAATACTGGCCGCCTGATAAGGGCTCTGGGGGACGGGGGTGAGGTCGAGCAGCTGCCTGGACATGGCGTCCCACTCCACCTGCCTCTTGGCCTTGCTGAGAGTCGGCATGCTGGTATTGAGAGATTCTCCAGGGTGCGGGGAACAAATTGGGGATCTAATCTGCAAGTTGGTCTTGCGCCAAACGGCTGAGGACAACGGCGCCAGGGGGCATGTTCTGAAGTGGGGCCTGGGTCTCGGCTTTCCCTCTCCCCCCGCATCTCCTCCACCTCCTCCTCTGCATTCTTATCCTACTCTGCTTCATGCCCCCCCTCCTCCACCCTCTCCTCCTCCTCCTCCTCCTCCTCCTCCTCCTCCTCCTCCACCTTCCGATCGTCCTCCTCCTTGCCCTTCTGGCTTCTCCTCTTCCTCCTTCTGCTCCTCCTCTTCCTCCTACTTCTCCACCTTCTCGTCCTCCTGAGGGAAGGGCAGGTGGAGCGCCTGGCCGCGGCATGGCCAGCGGCTTCTCTGCCCACTTCGGCGGGGCGCCGGGGGGTCGACGATGGCGCGGGCGAGGACGGGGGCGAGAGAAGGAGGAGAAGGAGGAGGAGGAGGAGGAGGAGGACGAGGAGAAGGGGGAGGAGGAGGAGGAGAGGAAGTGGGGGAGGAGGGGGGGGGGATGGGGAGGAGGGCGGAGGAGGAGGAGGAGGAAGAGGAGGGGGCAGGTAGAGGGACAGAGGAGGGGGAGGGGGGAGGAGGGCGACGACGACGAGGAGAGAGAGGAGGAGGGAGAGGAGGAGCGAGGAAGGAGAGGAGGGCGAGAGGAGGGAGTCGAAGAAGGAGGGCGAGAGCAGGGAGAGGATGGCGACGACGATGCCGAAGTTGCCGAGGAGGAGGGCGAGGGGAGGGCGCGGAGGAGAGGGAGAAGAGGAGGGGGGGAGGGCCTGGATCTATCCTGGTCCTATCCGGGGTCTATCGGGGTCTATCCGGGGCTGCTGGGCTGATAGACCCCGGACCCCGGATAGACCCCGGATAGATCCAGGCCCTCCCCCCTCGCTCCGTTGCAATTTTGGCTACCCCTCCCCTCGCCCCATTGCACCTGTTCTCAAGCGCCGAACGGCCTGCCTGCAGAAGCACACCTCGCGCAACACCACGCGGGCTAAGGGCAGACCTCCGAGGGCTTCAACATTTTGCATCCTCAATCCCCCGAGGACTCGGAGGGCTCAGAAGTCCGAGGGGCCAGAGACTGGGTGGCGCCCGAGCGTCGTCGTCCACCTTGAGCTGTGCACTCCGCGTAAGAACTGCGCGGGCTAGGCAGATCGCGGATGCAGGCAGGCTGGGGACTCACAAATCGGCACCCACAGCCTCGGCTTCGGCCTCGAGCTCCTCTGCAGCCGTTTTCAAGAGGTCGTTCAAAGTAGCAGTTGCACTCTTGGCCGACGACGCCTTCGAGTTGCCCTCCTTGCAAGCAGTCGTGACGAAGCCCTTCTCGCACTTGCCGCGCGCGGTGACGGCGTTGATCATGTCGCCAACGCGGATCAGCTCACTCAGAGAGTTGCCCGCGGCTGTGAGCTGCCGCTTCGAGACGAAGTCCTCCATCTCGTCACTCTTGACCGCGTTGAGGGCAACCTCGAGCAGACTCCTCTGATCCGCCCTTTTTTTCCAGCACGGTTTTGAGCCTCTTGCCCTGGGGCTCGGTCAGGTCCAGGAGCATTGGCCTTGCGCTTCATCGTCCTGTTCTGTTCCTCGGTGTCCGACTTCTTCGTCTGGTAGAAGAACACCTCGTACAGTTTCGTCCCGCGGCCAGTGTCGAACCACGTCTTCCCGTTCTTCAGGATGTTGCTGATCTGATCAGCCTTGCCCTGCAGCTTCGGATGGTTCCTGACCTCGTCCTCGTCGAGCCAGTCTGCATCAGCGTGAGCGTCGTCCTTCGTCGTGTGCGAAAAGGCTTCCTCGAGCGTCTCCTCAACGAAGATCTTCAGCTCCTTGCCGTACAAAGATTGGGCCCTCGCCCAGAAAGCCGCGCGGTCGTTGGCACCGTTCATATTCTTCCACTGGTTTCTGAGTTCGTCGTCGTTCGAGAGCAGCTGGAAGATGCGACTCTCGGCGTTGTGGCACGCGCGGCGCTTGAAAATATCACCCGTATTGTTGCCAGAGCCAGCCTTGAAGGTGAGCACTGGATTGTCGCCAAGCGCCTTCTGGCAAGTGACGCATTTCGAGGCTGCCATCGTGAACAGGCGCTCGGTGGAGCGCGGCAGGGCGCGGCTGCGAGCTCGAATCCCAGTCTGAGCCAAAAAAGGCTACAGTGAGCATCTTGGTGCCATATTGGGGCCTCTTGGGGCCATATTGGGGCCTCCTGGGGGCCTCTTGGGGGCCTCCTGGGGGCCTCTTGGGGCCTCTCGGGTGCCTCTTGTCTTGGAGTCCTCGTGGGGCCCGCCTGGAAGCCATTTGGGCAGTCTTGGGGCCCTCTTGGAGGCATCATGGGGCCCTGGGCGGGCGCCAAACTGGTGAAAGCAAGCATTGAACTGTTCAATGATGTTTCAGTTCTTGGTGCCGCGGCGCGGCGGGCTCGGGAGGCGTCGTCTTGGGGCTCTTGGGCCGTCTTGGAGCCATCCTTGAAGCCTCTTGGGCCGTCTCTGGTCGCGCACTGTCTCCCCCCTTGTGTACATATCCCCATCCGCCTCTCTCATCCTCTCTTTCGTGATTCGTTTTCTTATATATCTATATATAATCATCGTTGCGCCGTTCCCTGGGCCCCTCCCCAAAATATTTATGGATGCGTCGGAGGTTTGGGGTGTGTGAGGTCGACCGCGGGATTGATAGTGAGATCGGTACTGACCTCTTAGGTGAGGTCGATAGCTTGGTCTAGAGCGTGAGCGATAGTTGGATCGATACTGAGATCCACCATTGAGTGAGATCGATGATGTTATCGATAGTGAGGTCGATGTGAGGCTCGAGGACCCAGTTCCAACTCACGCGGGGCCAAACACCCGACAGCGCCCTACAGCACGGACCATTCGGGCGACACTAAGCTGATGATCTCGGCCGCGCTCAGCTGGAGCCGCACGGCCCGCCCCCGCAGCCGCCGCCCGCGCCGCCGGCAACTCGGCGGCGTGGCAGTCCCGCTCCGCCTCTGCCATGTCCCAGCGCTCCGTCGCCTCCTGGTAGGGCCTGCGCAGCTCCGCTATCTCCTCCCAGCGCAGCGCCGCCTCTGCCATGGCATCGTCGACCACCGTCTCGGCGTGCAGCAGCCTCATGGCGCGCGGCAGCCTGGTGGCAGCTTCCTCAATCACCTCATCGGCTCGGCCAGCCAACTCCTCGGCTCTGCCAGCCACATCCTCGCCAGCCTCGGCTCCGCCAGCCACCTCCTCGCCAGCATCGGCTCTGCCAGCCACCCCCACGGGGCTCCGCGACCTCGGCGACGGCGAGGCGGCGCCAGGCCTTGGCGCCTCCTCGCATGCGGACGGCCTGGACCTGGAGTCGCGCTCGGCGGCCACGGCTCCGCCAGCCACCCCCTCGCCAGCCTTGGCCGCCACGATGCGGAGCGGCGGCGCCACGCGCGGCTCCGCGCACGTGCCGCGGCGCGGCGGCACCTGGCGCACCGCCGCCTTCGGCCTCGCCTTCACCAGGAGCGCCGCGGGAGGAGGGTGCCGGGGCGGTCTCGGCAGCCTACTGGGCGCCGAAGCCGCGAGCGCGCCACCACCTCGACCCCCAAACGGCTGCGGAAGCCGCTGAGCTGATGGTTGGCCATCGGGGCCTTATCGATTTCATTATCGAGCACATCCAACCGATCACACTATCGATAATCTGTTATCGATCGCATCCAATCGACATCATCTCATCCAATCAATGTCGATGCCATCCAATTGACATAGATATCGGCGCCGAATAGATCTCACTATCGATCTCACCCAATAGACCTCATTACCGATGCCACTCTCGATTCGAATATTGGTTTGAATGTCCACCTGATGCGTTTTGGGAGGGGTGCGTCCTCCTCCTTCGGTGGAACTCCCTATGGGGCCACGAAGCGTTGTCCTGGGTGGGGGAGGCGCCTGCGAACTGCGCCACTGGGATCCTCGGTGGAGCCCCGCCGAAGGCCCCAGTGGCGCAGTTCGCATGCGTCTCCCCCACCCAGGACAGCGTTTCGTGGCCCCGTATATGGGGGCCTCCACCGAGGTCCCAGCGGCGCAGTTCGCATGCGTCTCCCCCTATCCAGGACAGCGCTTCGCGGCCCCATAGGGAGCCCCACCGAGGGCCCCAGTGGCGCAGTTCGCCGTTCTCCCGTCCCCCCGTGTGCTTCGGATCGTTCGGAAGTGTATCCGTAGCAATTTCGGCTCGGCCCCGCGGTCCCTTCGGCGTGCCGCTGGTGATCAGGGCGCGCCCAAAGCCGTCGGCGCGCCGGCGGCGGCGGCGGCGAGCCGGCCGAGCGGGCCGAGCGGGCCCAGCAGGGCGCCCCTCAGGCCCAAGGCCGCGCTGCCGCTGCCGAAGCAGCGGCCTCGCCCGCGGCCCAGGCAGAAGCCGATGCCGCGGGCGGGCAGGCAGCAGCAGCTGCAGCAGCAGCAGCAGCAGCACCAGCCAGAGCAGCAGGGCGTCAACGCGGCGCAGCGCAGCGGCAGCAGCAGCAGCGCAGCCGCAGCACCAGCGCAGCAGCACCAGCGCAGCGCCGCAACAGCACCACCAGCGCAGCAGCACCAGCGCAGCGCCGCAACGCCCGCGCAGCAGCGCCAGCGCAGCGCAGCAGCACCAGCGGCGCAGCAGCACCAGCAGGACGACCAGCACCAGCAGCAGGGCGACCAGCACCAGCAGGACGACCAGCACCAGCAGGACCAGCTGCAGGACGACCAGCAGGACGACCAGCACCAGCAGCAGGGCGACCAGCAGCAGCAGGACGACCAGCACCAGCAGGACCAGCTGCAGGACGACCAGCACCAGCAGGACCAGCTGCAGGACACGCAGTACGGCTTCCTGTGAGCACGACCAGCAGCAGCACCAGCGCGGCAGGCCGCGGCCGCGCAGAAAAAGCCACCGCCATCATCATCATCATCATCATCATCATCATCATCATCATCATCATCATCATCATCATCATACTCATCATCATCATCATCATCATCGTCCTCATCATCACCATCATCATCATCATCATCATCGTGGTCATCAGCACCACCACCGTCATCATCATGACCACCGTCTCAATCGGCACCATGCGCGATCCGAGGAAGGAAGGGGGCGCGGGGCACCGTCTCTTCAAAACGAGGGCCCAACACCACAGGATGGTTGGGAAAAACTATTCCTCCCACTCGCCCCCATCCTCCTCCTCCCCCTGCCCCCCTGTCTCCTCCTCCTCCCCGGGGAGCACCCCCCCCCCATCGCTGCCCCCTTTCTTCCTTGCTGAACGGGCATGCGATGCAGATTTTAAATGGCGGGAAAGAAGGGGGGGCCAGGATCCACAGTTGTTTCGCCAAGTGGAAAAAAAACTGCCTGTTTCGCCATGTGGAAAAAAACAGCCCCCGATCGGACCCCGAGAGGGCTCCAAGAGGGCTCCAAGATGGCCCAGGATCCACAGCTGTTTCGTCAAGTTGCAAAAACAACCCCCGATCGGACCCCGAGAGGGCTCCAAGACGGCTCAGGATCCACAGCATTTTTTAATCAAGTTGAAAAAGCGGTCCCCGATCGGGCCCCGAGAGGGCTTCAAGAGGGCTCCAAGATGGCCCAGGATCGATAGTTTCGTCGCCAAGTCGCAAAAACAATCCCCGATCGGGCCCCGAGAGGGCTCCAAGAGGGCTCCAAGACGGCCCAGGATCCACCGCGTTTCCGCCGAGTTGAAAACACTGCCCCCGATCGGACCCCGAGAGGGCTCCAGGAGGGCCCCAAGAGGGCCCTGGATCCATGGCTGTTTCGCCAAGTTGGAAACATCGTCTCTAATCTGATCCCAGAGGCTTCCAAGGGGGCCCCGAGAGGACCCAGGCCCCCAAGATAACACCACATTGAAGAAAACAACTGCGCTGGAAGTACAGTTTCCCGGTGGAAAAAAAAACAAAGGACAACGCTGCGGAATGGACTTTTGGAATTGGGCGCGCCCCAACTCCAAAAGTCCCCCGGGGGCGGCCCCACTCCGCTATGTGATAGGGAAGCGCGTGATTCTGGACAAGACGGCCCCAAGAGGGCCCAGGATCCACTGTTGTTTCGCCAAGTTGAAAAGACTGTCCCCGATCGGACTCCGAGAAGGCGCAGACGTGCCCCACACCGCTCTAAGTAATCCTAGGAACCAGAGAGAGAGAGAGAGAGAGAGAGAGACAGAGAGAGAGAGAGAGAGAGAGAGAAACAAAAAAAGAGAAAGAGAAAGAGAAAGAGAAAGAGAAAGAGAAAGAGAAAGAGAAAGAAAGAGAAAGAGAAAGAGAAAGAGAAAGAGAAAGAGAAAGAGAGAGAGAGATAGAGATAGATAGAGAGAGAGAGAGAGAAAAAGAGAAAGAGAAAGAGAAAGAGAAAGAGAAAGAGAGAGAGAGAGAGAGAAAGAAAGAGAAAAAGAGAAAGAGAAAGAGAAAGAGAAAGAGAAAGAGAAAGAGAAAAAGAGAAAGAAAAAAGAGAAAGAAAAAGAGAAAGAGCAAGAGAAAGAGAAAGAGAAGGAGAAAGAGAAAGAGAAAGAGAAAGAGAAAGAGAAAGAGAGAGAGAGAGAGAGAGAGAGAGAGAGAGAGAGAGAGAGAGAGAGAGAGAGAGAGAGAGAGAGAGAGAGAGAGAGAGTGAGAGAGAGAGAGAGAGAGAGAGAGAGAGCAGGAGGAGGAGGAGGAGGAGGAGGAAGGGGAGTTGGTTGGAGAAGTTGGAAGAGTTGGGGGAAGTGGAGGAGTTGGAGGAGGTGCATCAGGAAGAGCAGGAGGAGGAGGAGGTGGAAGAGGAGGAGCAGAGCGGAGGGATGAGGGAGGAGAGGGGGACAGGGCAGGGGAGGTGGACGGCCCATGAAGCCGCTGACCCAGGCAAGAGCGCTATGCCGCGGGTCGTTCATGGGCCAGGCTTCATCCTCCTCAGCCTCTTCATCTTTCTCCTCCTCAGCCTCTTCATGTTTCTCCTCCTCATTCTGATTTTGATGTGTTTCGAGCGCCGCGGATTCGCCAGGGTTCCTTCGTCCTCTCCCGGGCCTTCGGGGACTGATTTTGATAAGTTTCGAGCGCCAAGGATTCGCCAGGGTTCCTTCGTC